ATCAGAAACAAGCATTAATGTCGCCTGGAGCTCTGGGGTGCCCTCCCGCTGGTGTCTCTTCTCCTGGCTTTTAAGGCCAGCGGGAACGAGCTCCAGGTGCGCCACTCATCGTTGAGGGCTGAATTTGATAATTCCTGTACTTGGGACAAAAACTCTGCCATTGTGGCTCCGTGGTAACGCAGTTATCCTCTCTACCCATCTGTAATATTTCCACTAGGACCTCTTGTGTTCACAACAATTAGCCCTCACCCATATATAAAGCCCACAACAATAAGACAAGTAGGCCTATAAGGCTACTTAATAAGTAGACAAGTCTTTCACTTGTTTTTTTATTTTATTTTATTATTTATTTATTTATTTTGTAGCAAGATATGTCCACAAATATTTTAGGGAAACTTGATGATCCAGAAATATGATTTCTGAAGTATTTTGTATGCACGTGCTGCTGTCATATTTTCTAACCTTAAGATTGCAGCCCTGTCTTTCCTTTTTCTCTTCTTTTAGGACAGTTCTGGAGAAAATGGTGCTTAAGTTGTTTATTACTTTTGTAATTTAAGTTATTTGTAAATGAAGCAAAGTAATTGCTGTGTATTGTTTTAGTTGAAACGTGTAAATAAAAGACAAGAAGTATACTTCTGGAAATAAATTTTTGCAAAGCAAGTTATAATTTGTAAATGACAGAAATTCTTCTATACATTTTTTTTTTGCCTCTGAATAACATTTGCAAATGAAAATAAATTGTTCTATACTAAAAATACTTTTTACAACTAATTACAAAATAACTTCAACGTCAGAAAAGCAACCTCAAAAATGAATTCACAATATATAAAACAGATTGGAAAAAGAAAAAAATGTTCATCTTTCATTCAGCTGAGCAGTGAGACCCTGGTGGAGCTGCTGGACCTGGACGAGCTGACATAGAGAGCCTGGGATAGTCTCCAGAGTGTTTTAGTGCATATTTCCACTGTCCAGCACTGGGACGTTCAGCTTTATCCTGCAGTACAGGGGTCTGGTCTGATTTAAGGAAATGAGGTTTAATCTAAAGTGTAAACTACTCATCAGTTGTAAATGTTTTACAAACCTGCCGGTTACAGGTTGTGTGTGTGTGTGTGCACACTGGGTGAAAGATCTACGAATGATGAGTAAAACATTTACAACTGATGAGTAGTTTACACTTTAGATTAGGGGATGCAGAAAGCTTTGTAAATTATTTATTAATGTGTTTACACAACAGGTTTTGAATACTTTGTAGAGTGTACTGCAATGTAAGGGGTGACTGGTGAGGGTGTAGACAGATGTCTTCTCTGACATATTGAGTATTTATAACTATGGCGGCAATTCTATGCCATTAATAACCGAGCACACCACTGATGCTGGCGCGCGCGGTAAATCAATTCCGCGAGAGGAAAACAGATTTACACGCCAGGAACCGGGAGCCCGCAAGCTCATTTCAAACCCTCGCGCGCGCGTGACGTCCCCACATCCTCCCGCTCGCTCTTCCCTCACCTGCTCGCGCGAACACTTTTATTTTTGTCAGTCGTGGGGCGGAGCTTGCTGTTTTAATTGTAACCTCAAATGTCATTGGTTATTCCTCTTTTCCGGAAGTCAGTTTTGGACGCCTGTTATAAGATGATTTATAATTCTCTTGACTTAAAACATGGCACCAGCGGACCAGATACATGTGAGTTATCGTTTCATTTGCTTGTTTTATTTATTTATTTTGTCTTTATTTAATGTAATGTAATGCAATGTTCATAGAGTAGATCTTTTTCAGATACTTTATTAATGGGAAGTCTTCCGTTTACTAGTGATTGCAGTCTTGTGATGATAAGAGACACACATATGAACCCTTTTTAAAGACTGATGCACGCACACACACACATACATAGGCTATATATAAAGCTATAGGAATGACAGTAAAGTTTTCAAAATGTGTTTTATCTTTAATCTTGTAAATAGATACAACATCGTAATATTTGAAGGTGTTCCTATAAAACACAGGTTTCACCATGTATGCATTTGATTTGCAGTGTTACTAGTCATCTGCTATCAAAATCAGTCCATTCACGATGATGTATATGAACATTTATTCCTGTTCATGGAAAAGAAGCTTGTAATACATTCAGTTCCAATGTATTTATTTGTGTTCTTTTTGTTCTTCTTTTTTCCTTTGTATTTGCAGGTTGTGTACTTGAATGCAGCAAATAACCACCCAGTTCAGGAAAGTAAAAGCATAGAATTGCTGCACATATATAACGCTGTGTGATAATAGTACAATGTTGACATTAGAATGAGTTATAAGTGATTAATAATATATTAACTAGTAACATTAACCATTTACTAAGGATATGTTTGATTATTTCATGATATGCTATTTTTTAAGCTATTGGTAAATCGTTAGCATATTACTTAATCATTTGTGAACATGGCAATGCGGGAAATTACTTTGCGTGATTGGGGTGGAGTTTTCAATTAACGGCGGAAGGATGGAGTATATAAAGGAGAATGTGACGTACCTGAAAAAAAAAAACGTATCATCAGAAAGTTTGCATGCAAGGTTTGCAGTTGCATGGGTAAGAGTTAATGGATTACCGTGGGGAGTAGAAAATGACAAGCTGCCTGTTCATTCTCCCGTCCTGGTGTCTGACGACGACTTCCTTCACATTTGCAAACCTGGTCAGTGGCCTATATGTACGCTGCCGCCATTTCACACATTACTACACGCATACCCACTCACATTACGTTACCATTCGCACATTCTGTGTGTTTTTTATTTTGATTATGCAAATGTTATTTCTGCTCTTTAAGATTGTTGTTTGATGTTGTTACTGTTTCTTAAAAATGAACAAAATGTTTAATGTTTCTTTTTTTCTCTCTTTTTCTATGGACAATTTATCAGAATCAGAAGAGCTTTATTACCAAGTATGTTTACACACACAAGGAATTTGACTTGACGACAGGAGCTTCCAGTGTAGAAGAAAGTACAAACATAGTGCAGACATACATAGGAATAACACAGTAGGGATGTAATATAACACTAATATAATAATAAAAAAATGTAGATAATGTACTATATACAGAAATAGAAGAATCATTTATGAATGATTATGGACACGAAGCTGCCTGTGTTTCTTTTGACTGTCTTTGTGATTTAATATTGTAACAGGTGGTTTCTTCTTTTTGCTATCCTGGGTTAATTTAAATTTTGCCAGGATTAAACCTGACTGGCGCCCAAACATTTTCTTTAATAGAGCTTATCTATGCTAGGGCGGCCACCACCGTTGCAGAGTGGCGCCCAAACAGGGACTTGAAAACTTGAACATTTATGACTTGAAAACATGAAAACTTGATTGAATACTTGAAGACCTGAACATTTATTTTTGAGAATTTTTTTTGTTGGGGAATTATTGAAACCTTATGGTAAATTGTTGAGGGTTAAATTTTTTTGAACCTTAAAAGAAAATGGTTGTGTTTTGGAAATTCTGTGCTTTTGATTACAGGAGTGTTATTAATTGGGTTAGTTTTTTTTTGTGAGTTTGTGTGTAAACATTTGAATTGTGAAAGTTTTGAAAGTGATTTCAATTGTGATTGTGACTTGTTGAACACTTGAATTGAAAATGTTTGAATTAACAAAGCTGTTTTGCTTATGGTAAAAAGTTTTGAAGTTTTTTTGTGAAACTTGTACAAACTGTGTGAACATTAATTGGTTAAGTAGAGTTGTTATCACCAAGGTATCACAGTAATTTAGATAACTGAAGGTGACCTAATTTAACTTGTCTTGGGGGTAAAGTATTTTATTTTTGTGAAAACTGTGGTGTAAGAAAATACTGACACAAACACAATTACTGATTTACATTTACTGACTTTCTGCCCAACATTTCTTTCACCCACACAAACACAACATACATGGTGACTACCCCTCCTTCCCCATCCACTTTCATAGAAATGGAGTCACCTCCAGACATCTCAACTCCAGTATGGCCACCAGTAGTGCGACCTCTGATGCCTCCAGCAGCTCCACCTGGTGTCTCTCTAGTGAATAACACCACTATTCCATTCAGCCCCATGCATCCTGAGTCCCATATGCTCATGTCTTCTCCTGCTCTGGCTGGCAGCACTCCTGTGCAAGCTCTCACCTGGGCACCACAAGTGGATAATATGCAACTCTGCACATCATCCGAAGGTGAAACTCTTTCTTCAGTGGCACAGCATGACCTTCCCGTGTTCTACCCACTCCTGGAATGGAAGTTCAACAGTTCACTGCTCAGGTACAAGGGAACTGGGATCTTTTATTTGACTTCATGAAAAAAACAGGAGAAAATGGTGAGTGAACTTACCCAGGAAGTGAAAGCAACTTCTTCACATCACAAAAGTCAGATCGCTGACCTTGCTACAAAAGTGGAGGATAGCAAGAGTCAAGTCTCTTCACTCTGTTGACCACCTCTAAAGAAGAATCTGAAACAGACAAGTTGACTAAAGCAATGAAGCAAATGATTACAAAAGTTCAGCAGGACATCAAAGCTGTTCAACACACATTTCAAACAAGCCATGATCACATTACTTCAGAACTTCAGCAATGTGTCACCCAAAACGTGTGTAAAGGAGTTGAGAAATGAGATGGAGAAAGGATTTCAAGATCTCAAAAATCAAATTGATGAACAACAAAGATTGGCACCACAAACTTCCAGCACCACCATTACTTAAGAGAACATTCATGAAGTTCAAAAAACACCAAAACAATGTTCTGAGAATATTATTCTAGGAATGTTTTTATTTAATATTAAGACAACATTCATGAAGTTCAAAAAACACCAAAACAACATTCTGAGAATATTATTCTAGGAACGTTTTTATTTAATATTAAGACAACATTCATGAAGTTAAAATAACATCAAAACAACGTTCCAAGAATGTTGTTCTAAAGAACATTTTCCTTTAACATTGTGAGAACCTTTATCAAGCACAAATTAACACCAAAACAACGTTCTGAGAATATTTTTCTAGGAACGTTTTCCTTTAATATTAAGAGAACATTCATCAAGTTCAAATAACATCAAAACAATGTTCCAACAATGTTGTTCTAAGAATGTTTGGTAACACTTTATTTTAGGGTCTCTTAACTAGTTGCTTATTAGCATGTATATTACTAGAATATTATCCATTTATTAGTAGTAATTAAGCACATATTAATGCCTTATTCTACATGACTGTATTCTACATCCCTAATCCTACCCAATATCTAAACTTAACAACTACCTTACTAACTATTAATAAGCAGCAAATTAGGAATTTATTGAGGGAAATGTAGTAGTTAATAGTGAATAAGTGTCCCCTATTCTAAAGTGTTGCCGAATGTTTTTCCTTTAATATTACAAGAATATTCATCAAGTACAAAAACATTAAAACAACGTTTTGAGAATATTGTTTTAAGAACATTTACCTTTCACATTACGATAAAATTTCTGAAGTACAAATAACATAAAAAAACGTTCTAAAAATATTGTTCAAAGAACGTTTTCTCTCAATATTATGACAACCTTAATCAGGTACAAATAACATCAAAACAATGTTCCAAGAATGTTGTTCTAGGAACATTTTCTTTTAACATTAGGAGAAAATTCCTTCAGTACAAATAACATCAAAAGAACGTTTAAAGAATGTTGTTCTAAGAATGTTTTTTCTTAACATTACATGAAAGTAAATCAAACATTAATGACGTTATAAAAACGTCCCATAAACATTATTTTAAGAATGTTTTGCACTAACCTTTAAATAGCTTTACAAAAACGTTAGTGAAAGTTGTGGGAATGTTCCCTTTCATGGGAACTTCAAACTGCATCCTCTAGGGGTCGCTATGGGCCGTGACCCGTGTCTGAAGCATACATTGAAAAAACACCAACTCGTTGGCCGGCGACAGCCATGACGTCACTACTGGTGCGACTATAATATAAATAGGCGCCGGGAGCACACATCATTCTCTTCTTCGTCTTCATTGACTGTTTTGTTTGAAGCATGCATTTCCGTGGTAAGAGCGATCTCTATTTATCTCATTATGGCGAGCACTAGCAAAGCATTTAAGGATGTGTGCATCCGTGTTGACATTGGTTAACATCTGATGACACACACGATCTATGCGTTGTTTGTTTGGGCAAAGAGCACGCACGCGATGTCTCCGAAGGGGCAATCGGCGTGCACTGCGAGCGTTTTTTCCAAGGGAAAAAGCTCCACTCTCGTTTGTCTCTCTTTTCGAGGAAAGAGGGGCAGC